TTACATTGCAAATAAACTCCGTTTTCGCTTATCTTTTTTGTTTTTCTTTTGCATATGTATATTTTTATGCAATGCGCATAAGGGCAGCAACAACAATAAAGTGCATAAAACGCTGCTGTTGAGTCCTGCTTGGATATTGGTATATGGGTCTGGTTTCCTGCCTGCAGTGCGCGCATTTGTTTTTAATTAAAATAAATATTACCATAACCTATAAAATAATTGAAAAACAATTTAACATTATTACGCGAGCTTCCACGCTCCAACCTTCTGGCCTGGCCTAGACCGACGTTATCCCTTTGCTCGTCCAAATGTCTGTCTGTCTGTTCCAGCGTTTCTGGTTACTCGTTGGGCTCTTTATGGCGCTTGGATTGCGGTTTGCACCTGCCGCTTGTAAGGATGTTAAGGGTCATACATTTGGATGCACGCATTTGGTTGGCAACACGGGTATTACCCTACACGAACAAGAGTTGACTAAATAACTAATTATAGGGTATCACTCAATGCAATATGCAATACTCCATCCATACAGAATACCTCTTCTTATTCTTGTATGGATTTACTAGTTTTACACACAATTTAGACCTTTTGACGGCGCTGCCACCTGGTTTTGAAATTTGTTTTGCTGGTATTTTCACTTGAAAAAATGCGAACACACTTAGAACACAATTTAGACTTTCTCCTGATTTGCCCAATTAAAGTTGTCCTACAATTATTTTTTACATTATTAAAGTAAGGGTATTCTCAGCACTGCCCGCTTTCATTTATTTTTTAGTTTAAAATTTTGTATACATTCGCCCGACGCACAGCCAAATATACATTCTCACCCGCACATATGCACATTTCGTATTTTGTATATACATATATATTTTGGCATAATTATATTTTTAACTTTTATATACTTTGCTTTGCTTTATGGCAAAATAGCTCGTACTTTTGTGCGAAAAAATAAAAGAGCAACCTTCTTTAACTGCAGCAACAATTTTAATAATTATTTAATTAAAAATGTTCGCATGCATATATTTTTTTGGAAATTGCATCTATAAGCGTGCAGCGCTGCTGTTGTTATTGTCGTTTTTGTTGTCTGAGCTGAAGTGCTTGGGGAAAAATAATTCTTTTTGAAGTGTGTGCTATAATAAGAGCTGAAACTTAAGTATGGTGCACACAATAGCACAATTGCATTAAAAAAGGTCAAAGGGTCATGTTGCAAAGCTTGCAGCATTTTAAACAGAAAATGTTGTTAAGGAATTGAAACAACTGAATGTCAAATTGTTGAAAATAAAAAGTATTAACTTAACTTATAGATAAGATCAGTTAATAATTTTATGGTAAAATTCAAATTAATATAATTTTTGAATTTGGTATGTAAAAACCCTTAATTCTGGAGTCAAATTTCTTTAATCCCAGCAGCTTCCTTCTTCTTCTCGTCTATTATAAAATGGATAATATAATTTTATGCCTCATAAACCAAAAAATTAAAAACAATTGCAGACAATTGAAAGCTGATATTGATTTTTGGGAAAATCTCGCATCAGAAATCTATGAAAATCTGCCTGAGTGCCGATAAGTACAATGATTTTGACCATAATGAGCCGAGTTTAGGTAGCTCACGCCTCGATCTCGCTTTTCCTATCGGTTAGTTAGGTAGACCCTGGGCAAAAACTAACTATTATTGTTGGCGGGCCCTTTGCCTGTATGGCAACTGCAACCGAATACATCGTAAATAGCATTTGTATGGCCAAAGCATAAAAATTCGCATTAAAATCACAAAACAGTTGCAATTGTCTATCTGGCTGTGTTGTCCGCTTGTATCTCCTTACCTTCTAATCTCTTATAACATTTCCATTAATACGCAGCGGTAGTCACCCTGTTTTTGGCCAGGCAACCGCCTCAATGCCAATGCCAATGCCAATGATGAGAAATTAATGTGCGTACACAATTTCACATTTCACAGATACCCAAGACCAGGCACAGGCTCGGGCTCAGGCCCCGGCCAAGGGACCAGAGTCTTGGCACAGCGTGAGCTGAGCCAGAGCGTTACGGTCGCGCCGCTCAGCGGGACAAAGTGCTAACCATTGTTGGGAAATTTCATGGCGCTCCGCACGGGGTCCAGAGAGTCGTTCGCTGTGCGATCATTGTAAGGTGTAACAAAAAACCCAACGATAGAATTTTGTCAAATGGAAATTGTCGTTTCCGTGGACAGTTTATGGGCTGTTGCTGCTGCTGCGTGTTGTCATGCCCATCTTCGGAGCTCTTGCGGCTTAGCGTTTTCACGCCCCTGGTGATGAGCATCGGGTTTACCTGTGACTAGCAGATATATATATATATATATAAACCGAAGCGGCATTGCGCTTTCATAAGAAATAATCATAGATAGTATAGTTCGCAATTTCATAGAAGAACTTAGAATGAGATTTCAATAAAAAATTTATTGATGTTGAGAAAATATACATTTTACAAAGCCTTTTCTCTAAACTACTAAAATACTCTTTTAAAAAATTACGAATACGAAAGTATACAAATCCCTTTAAGAAAAAACGTTTAAGCTAACACAGCGATTCCTTTATTTTTAAAGGCTTTTGACATTTCGTTTCCACCTTTTCCTAATGTGCATATAACATAAATAAATTTTGCTTTTCATATTAACAGCAATTTTATACATGAAACACCGCTTCTTGGCACTTTCCCCTCTTTGTTTCAACTCGAGATAGTTTCCATATTACAACTAAACCTCTAAGTAAAGAAGACTTTGAATAGCTTCAACGCCTGTGTCAAGTCGCCCCAAAAAAATATATAACCATACAAAACGTGCCCCAAATCACGGCACGTTCAACTTAATTGCCCCGAAAGCTTTTGTATAATTCCTGGCCAATAGATAACAACAGCTGATAAATAGCGCGTCGAATCGAAAGCGCTCTGCCCGGTAGGAGAATGGAGGCGCGTTAACCTGCCCAAAAACACAATTGTGAAATGCTTTAATTTCTGAAGTACCTTAATGAGCATTTTCAACATGGTCATCATACAATCAGCAGCATGAGCAGCGGCAGCAGCAGCGGCGGCAGCAGCAGCTGCGTTGGGGCACAGCATGTTGCGTACGAAGTCCGTATTACAATGGCTCCAATATTTGGACCATGGCTCGTCATAATTACAGCCCAAAGCATAGTTTTTATTTATTTTTTGGTTGCTGGATTCTGACTGCCTGCTGTCGGGGAGCGTCAGAATTGGCCCAAAAACAGCCAAAGCCTCAAACAATCTGTAGTTGTATCGGCTTCATATCTGAGCATCAACGGGCGTTGTCTGCGCTTTGGAGAATTAATGATTATGTCCGTGTGGACTCTTATTGTTGTTGTTGTTGGTGGATGAAGCTGTGGCCGGCTTTGCGGCTTGATCCAGTAACCCTTTAATGCAAACACAGGCCAAGTAAGAGCTGCCCAGTAACTGAAACTGAACTCAGCTCAGTAGCTCTTTCACTCGACTGCTTTTGGGGCTTGGAACTGGGCCTGGGCCTGGTCGCATGAAAGGAAATTGTAATGATCGAAATCAAAATGTTTTCGTTACTTTAGCTCCTAATGAAGCTTGAATAGTGCGAATGACTCTACACAGTTGGCCGCTGGCCGCTGGCCGTTGGCCCCTCGGGGGCAACACAATCGCACCACGCGCCTTTTAATCGAAATTTGATGATGAATTCTCAACTCAAGTCAGCTGAACCTCAAGTTAACTCGGTTCAATTCAATTCAACTCAACTCGACTCGACTCCATTCAACTGGGCTTGATTCTTGAAATGCTACTTTGAGCATCGCTGCTCAAGCGCTTTTATTGTTGGCCATTTGAGGCTTTGCCTTTGCCGCTATTTACCTTTGTTATTTATTTATTGTTATTATAGTACATGCCTCTACTTGTGTTCTGCTTTTTTCTCTTCTTTTACCACTCGACTTTTTAATTGCATAAATAGGCTTGGGGTTTGGTTATTTGTATCAGACGTTAACCGCCGCATGATTTGCTTGAAATTGTTGTAGATTATTGAAGATTTCTTAGCTACTTTTTGTACAGATTTTTCACAGTTGCATTCTCTATGATTTTATGGGTCTAATGTAGCAAAATGGGCTCTCAGTAGAGTACAAGTTTGTACATATTGTATTTGATTACAATATAAATGCGACCTAGCAGTATTTCGTAATATCTAACGACCTTAGTCAAGCCTATGATAGATAAACTATTGATAAGCCTTTATGTGCAAACTAGAAAAATGCAATGAACCAGCTTGTATATTTACTTATTAAAAAAAAAATTATATATTAATATTAACAAAACAGGCAACGTTTTCCCAATGTTGGCGGTTGCATAAATTTAGTTTGTATGCGAGCTCTCTATCGAAAGCAGCAATTAAAATATTAATAAAATCAAACAAGATATAAGCCCAGCTTACCTTTTGTACTAACTCTTTGCCGTGTGTCAATTTATACTCAGCCTCATATACACATTTGCCGTGACATTTGCAGCATGTTCCCTTTTCATCTGGAAATAAAAATAAAAATGAAAAAAAGTTACGCACATTGCAGCTTTTTACTTTCAACTTAATTAAAAGTCAGTTAAGAAAAGTAAAATTAATGCACTATTATTTAATGGTAACAAGCTACTTGTACAAAAAACTTTTGCAGCGCTGCGCCGCCAAGCGAAGCGTGGAAACGTAAGTGCGGCCCGACGGAGTATCTAGCAGATACAGTATCTGTGTGTCTGTGTGTATCTGTGAGTGAGAGTGAGTGAAATGCCAAACGTGCGCCTATGTGTGTGTGCATAATTTTCAATTCAATGCGTTGCACTATACGCATTCGTATCCCACCCCTTTACTTTTAACCAGCTGCCGCCACCTGCTGCCCCCTCAGGCAGCCGTCGTGGCAAACTAGACGCAAAGTTGCAAGCTCATCGTTGTAAAAATAAAATGGACAGTGGGGAGGTTTTTTGTTTATCAGTTTTTCAAAGTAGTTTTCTTTTGCATATATTTTTTTTACGATATTTGCTTAAATTTGCATAAATTTTTTCACTAACTAATAAATACATAGTCATAGCTTACAAATAGGGTTTTTCTTGTTGATAATTTTTGTTCAAATAATTTAAATTAAACTTACAAGTGACTCTCAGTGCTTTTTTTGTTTTTAAATTAATGTACAATTAATGGCTTAAGACTAGTGCTTACGGTCTAATTAAATACAATTTGTTGATGAAAAAATAGTAGTAGAAAGACAGTAAGTAGTTAGGTGCTAGAGATCGCATTTGAGTTTTGGTGCTTATGTACAGAACAATAAAAGTTTCTTTCAAGTTTAGTTCTTGTCTTGTTTTTTTTTTGTTTTTTTTTTTTAAGTTTTATGTTTTTAAACAGCGCTTACACGTGCCAATTATCTGGTTAATGAAATTCAAATATTTTTCATGGCATACTCGAAAAAAAATAAACTCTTTCAATTAACAGACACGTGTAAACTGCGGCTTACAGTTGTCAGATATTTGTTAAAATATTCGTTAATTTATATCGTATTAAGACTATTAGAATTTCATATAACTGGAGCTGAATAATATGATTCGATATTGAAATTTGATAGACAAATTCTTAACTCTCAACTGACACGTGTAAACTCAGCGCTTTAGTATCTTATGTGCTCTGCTACTACAATTTTTTCATATTTTAAGTGCAAGTTGTGTGGAGGAGGGGGACGGGGGACGGGGAGGTTTTACAAATTTTGGCATCACAGTTGACAACGACACGAACGACTAAGCATAAATGCTCAGCTGCCTGCGACGATAATGCTCCGAGGATCAGTGCGTAAACTGGCGCATAGTGCTCATATTATTGTTGTGTGCTGGCGTCTTTTGCTGAAAGGAGCGACGTCCGGTGGTGGCACAGAGGCCATTCCGCAGAGGCAACGCTGGCGGCACCGGCGGCGGGGTCGGCGTCTTGTTGCGCCCCATCTGCTCCAATGGCAGCGAATAGTGGGCATTGCTGTAGATGTAATTGGGATCCATCATTTCGCCGTTAATTGCATCGGCTTCAAAGTCGCGCGGCTCACGTTGCTCGCGTTGCTTGAAGTGTTCGTGGGTGACGCGCAGCTGCTGCGGTGCATGCACCATGGGCACATCCGCATACGAGTAGCAGGAATCGGCCACGGTGGCGGTGGCAGCCAGAAACTGCGGCTTTGTATAGTGATTGAGCTTGGACTGGTGTGGATGCTGTTGCTGCAGCTGTTGTTGTTGCAGCTGATGTTGCTGTTGCAGTTGCGCCTGCTGCTGTTCACGCCCCATTGTGGCTGTCTTCATGTGCAGCACAAAGCTGGCGCTATCATCGACGCTGCCCGCCAAGCTCTTGTTGTTGTTCAGTTTCTTCTCATGCATCAATGTGGCCGTTATGGGTACCTGCAGCTGCTGGAACTTGTGCTGGCCATCGACAGCATTCAAATCATTGATGGGCATCGGGCACATGCCATAGTGATGATGCGGAGCAGATGCAGTTGTCTGATGTGGCGCCGTGTAGGTGTTCGGGAAGGTTGAGTGAATGCCCAGCGAGCAGGGATGATGCTGCAGACGCGACATATAGTCCTCATCGCAAAAGGTCTTCTGATATTCGCGCTCCTTGCGGCCCAACGCCGAATTGCCCCAGACTCCGCCCTTGAGATACTCGCGGATCTTATGACGGCAGCGATACAAGACCAGGGCCAAGGCGGTAATCGTTGCAGCAGAGCCCACCAGTAGAGCACCAATCAGCGCCTGTTTGCGTGGATCGGTGTGTGTGCAGCCCATGAGCGTGGGATTCAGGTGTTTCAGTGCCTCGCCACGCAGACGTTCGGGAAACTCACAAAGCAGCTCCGTCAGCTGATCCTCCTGGCTGGCATTCTTGGCTATCAACAGATTGCGCAGCCACATGACGCGACAATCGCAGGACAAGGGATTCTCGGATAGATCCAATGTGGTCAAGTCCTTCCATGGGAATAGACCTTCAGCCAGTGAAGTCAAGGCATTCGCTTTCAGCACGACATGACGCAGATGCGGCAATCCACTGAGTGCACCCTCCTGCACCTCCACAAGCATTTTATTGGAGGACAAATTAAGATACTCCAGATTTCCATTGGCCGCAAAGGCGCCGGTCATTACACGCTTTAGTTTAAGAGCACCATTGATGTCCAGTCGTTTTAGCTGCTTCAGACCCACAAAGGCGCCCTCGCTGATCAGCTCGAAATCGTTTTGGCCCAACGACAGTTGTTCCAGGCGCACCAAGTGACTGAGACCTACGGACGGAATGCGCGGCAGGCGGTTGTCGGAAAGATCCAAGACGCGCAGCTCCTCCAGACCCAGGAAACTGTCATGCGAGATATTCTGCAAGCTGGCGCCCTTCAGCTCCAAGCGTGTCAGGCCCTTCAGATCCTGGAATGCGGCCGATTGTATGGTCAGCAATGAGTTCATTCCCAGAAATAGTTCCGCCAAGCTGGGCATGGCCTGGAATATGACAGGATCTGGCACCGAGGTCAACGCATTGTCATCCAAATACAAAATGCGCAGCTGTTTCAGACCGTCAAAAGCCTTGGGATCTATAAATCCAATGCGATTCTCGCCCAAGTTGAGTTCCTCAATTTTCAGCAACGGCGAAAATGTGCCCTGATGCAGTTCCGAGATGAGATTGCCACGCAAATTGAGCACAGTTACCGCAGATAGACCCATGAAGGTCTTATTGCTAATCTGGCCAATTTTATTGTGATTCAGATGCACCTCCTGCAGTTTCTTTTGGTAGGCAAACGTGCGCTGCGGTATGGTCATCAAATGGTTCTGTGATAGATCCAAGAACGTCAGCTCCGCATAGAATTGTATGGACGAGTCGATGGTCTTGATTTTGTTGCTCTTGATGACCAGGCGCTGTATGGATGGATTCAATGCTATCGGCAGCACATCCAGCTGCCCCTCGCCGCACTGCACAACCAAGGTGTTGTCATCGCACTGGCAGCCGGGCGGGCAATTCGCCAGCGCCTCCGTTTGGCTAACCCAGATGCCGATCAAGATGCAGCTGCAGATGCAGATCAACTTTTGTAGTCTCTGCATTTTGTTGCTTTTGTTTTTTCGCTTTGTGTTGCTGTTGGTTTTGTTGTTGTTGTTGTTGGTTAGCGCCTTCCGGCGTCGATTTGCGTTTTGTGGTTAATATCGAGTGTGTGTGTGTGTGTATTTTTGTTTATTGTTTGGTTTTAATTGTCCATAGTGCTGTGGGAGAAAAAAGATTGAAATAAGAACATTTTTGGTTAGCTATGTTTTAATTTTCAATGCAGCTATTTTTAAAGAGGCTTGAGAAATATAAATGTGCAGTCAAGAAATTTGTGTGTTATTTAAAGATTTTCAGTTATAATTAGCTGACTTTTATTTGTGTGTTTTCAAATTTAATTTTTAATTTACACAATTTTACATGCAGCCAGAATAACTCTCTGATTTTCTTTATTTATATCATTGTGTCAAGAAATGTTGTATTTTAAAGTTCAGTTAGTTCAGTTAGTATTCAATGTTTAAATATATCTTAAGGCATTTATTTTTGTTTTTAAGATTGTTTTATTTTTTTATTTTGAAATTTGCATATTTTTTTATTAAAATTTAAAATATTTTCAGCTAAAGCGCAACTTTGAATGCTTTATTTGTTTTTCACATTATTTTATATTTCTCAAGCACTTTAAATTTTCTACAAATCAAATTTTTGCAACTTACCTTTAAGTCTATGGTGCACAGCAACAATTTGTTGAAGTCTGCGGTTTGTTTTTCAAAATTATAAAAACAACTAAAAATTTGTTTGGTGGTTTAACAAAATTGTACTAGCCAATTTGTGGTCGTTTTCCTTTTTTGTGGATGTTTTCACTGCACTTGCCAATTATTTTGCAATAAACTCAAAATTTCACATGCAGCCAATAAAATTTATTTAGCCAATTCATAACCTTAAATGGTTTTCTAATGTTTTAAAAATAAAACATATATTTTGTGTGTGTTGTATTTTTGAAGTTGTGTGTGTTTTTTTGGTTTTTTGAAAATCGTGCGCGATAATCCAGTGGCTCGCTTTGCTGCACGCTTCAAGTAGTTGTCACACGGCGTTTAAGTTTTACGTTCTTTTAACTGTGGCAATGTTAGCCAAGCTAAGAAAGACACAGTCGCTGCTGGGCTAGTGCACAACCGAACACGACGAGGCAACGAACTACACTGATTTAGCTGAGCGCGTAGCGCACTGACGATACCTCGGTCCGAGTGTTTCCAGCAACGACAGCTGCAGGCGGGCGCAAATAATCCACGACGACTGCACGACCTTGCATTGCGGCCCGAACGAGCGAGAGCACGAACGAAAGCGAGAGAGAGAGAGAGAGAGAGAGATGGAGAGAGGGAGAGCGTGAGCACACAAAGTGGTGCAAATGAGAGCTCAGATAAAGAAGCTGAGCACAAAAACTGGTTCTGAGAGTCGCTGCCTGAAAGTCACTCAAAGCAACTCTCACTCATTTATCTGAGGCTCGTTCTGGCCCAACTACCTGGACTCTTGGCTGTTGCAAATGCAGCACGCAGCACCAGGCACAGTTGAAGGCAGGCAGCCATCAACATAAAAACACGAAGCACCAAGAAATGCTGCGAGTTTTGTGGCCAAAATCATAAAAACCGCTAAGTAGGCGAATTATTTGACGTACTTTTAGTTTTTGTTTTATGCAGACAGCGACATTTTCTTTATTGAAATGAAAATGGGCGCCCACGCAAAATTTCATTAGAAAATCCACACAGCACCCAAATTGAGCGACATTTAACGTCAAGTGGCATCATTTAATGTGGTTTATTTTAATGTAACACTTCAGGCGAAAATCCCACTTGAAATTGATATGCCAGCCGCAGTAGTTGCTCGCGTATCTTACGGATGCGCATACAGGACAAACGGACACAGACACACACTCATTACACTTGATGCAACACACTAATCCAGTAATCGAAAACAACTTCAAAGTTGCTCCTCTCGACTGTAAAGTGTTAAGTGCTGAAAACCTTTTTTCGGCATAAATGTATCTACAGATACATGACATTCTGCCCCAACCAAACCACGCAGCGAACAGTTATTTATAGTGTCATTTGATACTTAGGACATGCCTGTCTATTGCTCTGCTCGATGCAGTTTTGAGTTATAACCCGGAGCGAGGCTGCACAGCTACGTGAAGTACAAAAAAAAATAAAGATACAACAAAATATGCAGACTGTTCAACTATTTACAAACACTCACACACGCACGCACAACAACTGTGACAACAAGAAAATCAACTATAAATGGCCATAACTTTGTGCCAACATGCTGAACGGGTTGGCGGGGGTACGAGATTTTTTTCTTTTTTGGGGTTTCTTGGTATTTGCCAGTTGCATAACTTGCATATTTTTCCCATCTCGAAATTCTTGTAAAAGCATGCAAAATATTATTTAGACTGTGTCTCTACGAACGAAAATCTGTGTAGAGCCTTGGTATAAAGACAATTGTAGATGGGAAATTTACTTTTGGCTGGCACTGTAAACAATAATTATTTCTTAGCCATCATTCTCAGATTTGTGGCTAAGTAATTTATTTCATTTCATAGTCAAAGATATTGCAGCGGCAATCAACATGACAAAAGTAACAAAGAGCTTTTGATAAAACTGTGTCTAGAATGTGTACAAAATTCATTGCATGTAAATATAAATCCTTATTTTCAATCAGTAAATCGTTGGCATTGTTTCATTATTCAAAACCCTAACTCAAAGTGTAACAATGTTTCAGCTATCATTTTAAAAACAACTAACTTTTTTTCAATCCTGGTGTGCATGTCTACGTAGAATGCATTGCAGTGAAAAACATATTTTAATCCCCAACACAATCAAAATCTGCGAGCTTTGATAAAAAAAAAACGACAGACAAAACTGTCAGATTTCCTTACTGATAATTAATACAGACATATTCCAAAAATAATAATTGATAAAAAATATATTTCTCATGGCATTTTTCAAAGAGTTTTTCCTGCAAATAAACATAATATCGAGTTTTCGTATACATTTTAGCCCAACAAACATGCACTCAACAGAAACTTGCAGTTTTATCAGAGCACAACTGGACTCTGTATTAATTAAATAAATTTGTATAAATGAAAAACTCCCAAAAGAACCAATTAAAAAATTCAAATATCAGCTTCAGCTTGTCAACTTCGACAGATAAAATTCAAATAGTTATTTTAAATTTCAGATAAAATTCAAATAGTTATTTTAAATTTTAGAAAGTTTCTGATATCCACATAAACTCTCTAGAAATTGAAGGCAACAAAGTATGCCACAACAGATTGGTAAAAATGGTTGCACCAATTATGTTTTGATGGCGACAGCAGGTTGCCAATTGTCACATGGGAAACAACAAACTCATAACTAATTACAGCTCACTCCATAAAACTTTGCACAATTTCCGTGGTGCACAGAAAAAAAATTTAACTAAAACCAGAAATGCAGCACTATTCCAGCGGCACTTGATCTAAATCTAATGCCACAAATGACTGCAGCAGGTATACGGAAAGTATTTTGGGCTCTCACGTTACAAATAAAACGCTCGGCAATAGCAACTAAAGCAACGTCACTTTGACGGTACTTTCAATTTGCGACGATGTGTGAGAATTTCTTGGCAATAAATTTTAACAACATTTGACGCAAGCTCGCCTGTGGCAGCCAGAGGTAAAGGTTATCGCAGCCAAACAATAACTGGCAATGTTTGTTTTCGCTGCATATGAAAATTGTTTAGTAAAATGCTAAAAGCACTTAAGCAATTAGACAGATTTTTGGGGGGAGCCGTGTGTAATTAGGTAAAACACAACACGGCAACTACCGTTGCATTCGACAAAGCACAAATGCAAATAATGCATAGGCAATGGGTGGAAATTCAAGCAAGTCAAGAGCTAACAAAAACTAAACCCAACCAACAGCGACGCATTTTGGGCAAACAAAAACCGAAGGGCGAGGTAACTTATGGGAACGCTTAGAGTGACCAGTCAGCCATCCATCCGCATCCAGAGTGTGGCAACAGAGTTAACTGTGCGCACAGATACCCTGCACAAATTCTTTAATTTTAAATTATTATTAATATTATAAGTAAAGAATATAAATTATGAATTGATTATTGAGATTTTTAACTTGATCCAATTTATTTGTAAAATTATTCTGCCTAACTAAGCGGAACAAAAGTTTTCGCAGGTTCTTCTTACAGTTTGAACCAATGTCTACACTCAACATTCAATTTCTGAACCTGGTTTTCTTTAAACTGAACCAATATTTTTTTGATTGACTTAAGATTCGGTTTATGGTTTAGGAATCCAACTAATTGTGCTTTAACCGGTTTTCACTTTTGCTGTTTAGACACCTGGGTATTATCCTACCCTGCGATATTCGAGTTTGCCGTATAGGGTATAAAATACATCGCAGCTGGCTGCGCATGCGCCGTGAGCCGTTGCCGCTGCCGCCGTCGCTGCCTTTGCCGCCTTGTTGTTGCTTTATTAGAGCCGTTGTCTTAACAAGAAACTTGTTAGTTGCAACGGGTTAAGGCTAACAAACGAATAAAGAAAAAACACGTTGTTTGTTCGTCGCGACGTTGTCGTCGTAGTCGTCGTCTTCGTCGGTCGCCTACTTTGAACATATTTCAGCTGCCGACTTTTCCAGGTCCATTTGTCAGCATTTAGGCAAACATTTTAACAAGCCCAGTTCCAATCCTAGACACAGTTCCGGTGCCTGTTTGCCCCGTGTGGACCATGGCCAAATACAACTTCCGCAATTGCTGTGCCCATTTCCTACAGCGCATTGTCTTCAATCCAATAAAATATCAATTGACTCGCAATTAATCATATTCCAAATGTGCAAAGGCCAGTTATAATGGTCTATATAGTTCAGACACAGAACAGTTTCCTTCGCATGAGCAACCGGAAAGAAGTCTCATTGTGCCATTGTACAGCATTGTACTTAATACTTCTTATTTTCCTACCATATTCGCTTCACACTTTTTTCTCTCTCCAGCTCCGCTTTAAAGTCGTCTCCTGGTGCTACCCGTTTTTAGAGAAATCACAATAAATAATGAATCAAAAAATGAGCGTTAAATGCAACGAGACGACGAGAACGGACGGCTGACAACAAAAAAACAGCAGCAGCAACGGCAACGGAAGTGAGTACACAATGGACCAAAGAGCTGGGCACAATGGAGACTCAGACGGCCTACCCCTGGTAAAGGTAAAGTTTAAATCGATGCCATGAAAAGTAAGTAAATACCCTACCTAACACACACACACACATTTCTCAATTTGATTGTTTTGAAGGTAGCGCTGACCATTTGCTGACTTGGATATTTCTCTACAGATTTTTTGCCTACCTATTGAAGCTGTTTGTGTAGTAAGCTTTGCTAATGCATCTCAGGCTGGGAACTGAAAGCCTCATCAAGTGTGCGGCATTTGAGAGATCTGAGAAGCTATCACAGGTAATTCAACTTTCAGCATGGTGTAATATAAACTGTAAATACTTTAGGGAATTATAAGCATCAAAATCAGAATAGAAACACAATAGTTGAGTAGATTCGTTGCCGAGGCAAATTATATATATATAAGCTCTTCAGCCGAAACGAATATCAATGCCCAATCATCATCTTGTTTCGCTTGCAATTCTTAATAAGTTCAAAAGCTGCTGAGGAGCCTGAATATTTTTAATTTGCTATTAAAGGTGGTAGTTTTTGAAAATT